CCCAAAGGTTTGCAGGGCATGCAGTTATCTTTGTTTCCCCCATTCAAAAAAAAAAAAAGTTTAAAGTCAAATGCATTTTTTTTAAGATCCAACTCAAATCCTTGTTATCTGTGCAGCCCAGCTTTTGCTTGCAAGCAGCCTAGTTTATTTAAACCATGGGTCAATACAGTATATATTATATACATGTAAGTTTTTTATTATTTTTGTTTAAATATGAATAACAGATGTGAAAAGCCTCCTTGTTCTCCACGTTAGAGAGCTCAGCATCAAGACATAAGTATATATGTTAGTATAAAGACAGTAAAAGTGTTTCTCCTACACAACCTGATACTAGGATAATGACAATAATGATAAGAAAAATAAGGGCTGCCCCCTTGAGCAAGGTCAGACTACTGGTCCTACTTGTAGCTGTGAGGCTGAAAGCCCTGGTCAAGCAGCCACAACAGGTGACTAAACAGCTGCCTGGCTATATTATCTGTCAACAACTTCTGCCAGCAGAAATAGAGATTCTTTCTTTCCCTCTCACTTCTCCTATGTTTAAAGGGGAAAATCAAATTTGGTGTCCCAAACCACCAATGCTACCTTAATTACATAGAAAATTTAAACTGCCACTGTAATTTGAGGGACAGTTGAGTACAGCCATACCCAAGTGGAGTACAACAACCAGCTCCAGCACCTGGGGCAAGGAGTTAACCTCTCTGAACTTTGATTTCCTCCAGTCTCTGTGGTTGGTGCAGGACCCAGTCAGAGAATTCTGGTAAGCACTGTTCACATGTTTTGCACGTAGTGAGGGTTTAATAGATGGTAGCTACTGTTATTGCTTCTAAATACCAAAATAATGCAATTGCCTGCATTTCCTACTTATTGAAAAAGGACACAAGATCATGCCATGGTCTGGGGATGGGAGGGGGAAGAGGACTACAAAGAAACCTGGCTGACTTTTCTGAGGTGGTGGAAATGCCCTATATCTTGTTTATGGTGGTGACTACATGACTATACGTGTTTGTCAAAGCTCATAGAACTGGACACCAACAAGAGTGAATTTTACTGTATGCAAATCATATTGCATTTTTTAAAGTATCAACCAAAGTATTTAACTAGTTCTGATTAAAATAAACCATTTAAACTAACAGACATTTTAACTTATTTCTAAAACTAAAAAGAAATCTAAGGCCTAAAATGCTACTCATGTGTTTTTAGACCAAGCTCTTGAATTCAAGGATTGAGATATTTGTAAAATATGGATGCCATCTGAACAATTAACCAAATTTACTACTTCAAAATAAAGTATAGATTGTATTGAATAGTGTGATGAAATGAATTACGGAAAGAGAAAATGAAAGTGATGTTTTCATTTACTAGATTACTTAACATGACAAACATAATGGCTTCTTCTCTAAAAATCCAGTAATGGGCCTTTGTAAACAATCCCAAAAATGTCTCATTATTTTCAATAAGCTAAGGAAAAATAGAAGTTTGGTGATTATTTCCATGATTTATTTATCATCTCAAGGTATTTGTAAAAGGTTCTATAAGGCTGCTCACCCTAAATTTTCATCAACACTATTACCACAACCAAGGAGATCTTTTAATGTATATCTATGCATATGTTTTGGCAGACAATGTAGTTTTACAACAATTTTTTCCTCAACACTGTATTCATAAAACAGATGGGGTACCAAAGAAATTATTTTAAATGAAAATTATAAATTCAGGTAAGCCTACAGTGTACTTCTGTGTAAGTCCTGCACTTTAGCAATAATCCCCCCCCCCTTCTTCGCCCACCATATATCACATTTAGGCTATTATTTCTCCCTCTGACTTTGGGATCCCCACTTAAGAGGGATGTTAAGACTGTAATGAAGATGGAAGCTAGGAAAGAAGCATAGTTCGCATTTCAACTAATACAACCCCATATATACTGGCCTCGGTTCCTTAGCTAACATATATCCCTGATGTTCCCTCCAGTCCCCAATTATCACCTTGCTTACTAATCTACTCCAACTTCTACTCACAGACCACCTGACTGCATGCATCCTTATATTTAAAAAAAAGAAACCAAGGAAAGATGTTACTATTGCTTTTTTTTCAGTTGAGCAAAAGCTTAAGCTTTTGCTTAAGCTTTTTATTCTTTTTAAACAAAAGTGAAATGTAATTTCTGCCATTCATGTGACAAAAATATCTGCAATATTCATTGCTTTATGAAATTTGATTTTAAAGTAAAAGACCTCTTTTTCTATTAGGATATTGTCTTGATGCTATAAGTTATGTCCTAGAAAACACCACACTAAATTTCTAAAATCTTAACACTTCAAGGCATCAATTCTAGGGGAAACATACCAAGTAGTTGCCTGTTTAAATATAGTATCCTCTGTTTCCTATAACACCGGCTTGATCAATTTTCAATACCACTTCCATAATTTTTAAGAATGTTTAAGAAAATGCAAGTTGAAAATAGAGGCAAGAAAAAGAAGTCTGTTAAGTCATCTTAGGAAGTTCAAGATAATAAATCCAAAACCACCTGTTTTAGAAATTAACAGAACTTAGAGAAAACATTACTTCCTCCATTCATTCAGTACCAGGTTTATTTAGCCCCTGCTATGCTCCTGACATTTTGTATTTAGGGATACAATGGTGAACAAGAAGCCAGCTGCCTTCATAAGAAAGAAGAAAAATGAAAAAAATATCTTTGAAAGTTTCAGAATTCGATATAGGTATCAATGTCATTTCTAAAACCAGTGATGGCTGAACAATTAATTATTTTCCCATATGCTTCTAGCAGAGCCTCCAATGAAGAAATATCTGCTGACAAGTTCTCTATGCCGTATATCAGAAATATTGACAAATCATCCTTCTTCCTTATCTCCCATAAATGTAAAACTGAAATAGATGCTGTTGTAATTCAGTAAGTTACACTATGATTCCCACTATGGACACTAATAAAGTTTGATTTTTTTTAATGCAAAAACAGGCCCTTAAAGCAATTGAAAGAAAGGTATTAAAATTAGGTAGGCTGGTATTCTCAGGAATTTTCATCTCAAATTTCATTAACACCACAATGCAAAATCACCTCAAATATTTTGTGGCAAATAAAAACAGAAATGTCACATAACTCTGTCAATAGAATTGATCAGCATACACAGTGGAAAGTAACTTCCAAAGAAACATAAGCTACAGAGTAAAAGTAAATAGGTCACTAAAAGCTATGTCTGCAGCAAAAACACACTTTCCTTTCCTTAGTTTAACTCTAAACTCCTGCTGTAGGTAGTTAGTACACTTGATCCTTAAGCCCTTCAATTGTGCCCTTGCAGGGACATAAACTGAGCAAACAGATGACAAAGCGAAATGCAGTTTCACAACTGCCTCTTACATAGAGTAGCAAGGTGGTATATTTCACTAGATTACTGCAGAAGTTGATAACACCATCAGACATTCTCACAGTACTTGGAAGATTTCTGCAGGTCCAATTAAATTTCAAATACCACCAGTGCCAACTCTTCACCTGTGACACGTTCTGCCCTCTCTCCCACCAGTTATCAATCACAGGAAGGGTGGGTGCAGCCTGTCAATGTGCTTTGTTGCTCGCTGTCCTGACAACCCCTTGATTTTCGAAAGCAACATTTTCATATTTGCTCTATACTTGAGCAAGCTCAAGGAGATGGCATTGCCTAAGGCTCTGCTCTTCTTAACTCATCAACTTTTTTTTTTTCATTTCATGTCACAAGAAATATTTTTACACTGCAGACCAAACATTAGAAGGAAACCACCACAAACTCAAGAGTTCCTAATGTTATTTTTTGTGTTTAAAATGCACAAAATAATCTCTGGCTTTCTCCTGCTAACTAACACTGTGCAAAAGATAGCAAAACCAAGCAAACTGCCCAAAAGAACTTCCACAGAACTGGAGGCCTGCCCACTGCAGTAAGGAAAAGATTAAATCGTGTGGAACTGTAATCTCTCCGAGCTTTTGAGCCTAAGAAAGCGGAAATCTGCATTTATGTTCAGAAACCTACTCCATTTCTCCTTGTGACTGAGTGACTGGTGATGTTGCACCCTCAAAGTGTAAGAACCATTTACAAGAAGCAACTAACCATATTACAGATCAGAAAAAAAAAAACCTATTAAATAATCTCTGTTCATCTCCTGGGATTTTTAAGAAAATGTTTTCACATAATCCCTGTTTTTAAAATACAACAGATATTTTACAGGGAGTCTGTTACCAGCCTAGGCTACCACAGAAGAGCATGCCTATCAGGCAGGTACAAGGCCCTAATTCCAGGCCAATCCTGGGAGAGGTGACAGCCCCAAGTTCAACGGGCTGATGTCTGAGCACAGCTCCTCCTGCACATTAGGGATCACCTCTCCATTCTTTCCAAATGCCATTTGCATCCAACCCCTGCTCAACCACCCCAAGCACCCTGCATCAGCGGTTCCTGTTAGCCGTGGCGCCCCTTCAACCCCTCCATCCACCACCACTTCCCCCAGGAGGAAACAGACCCCAAGGACGGCTGGGGGTGGGCGACGAGCGCCCTTCTCCCACCTACCTTGATGATGCTGCTCCGGCGGGGCAGGCCGCCCGGCTTGGTCTCCCGGGGAAGAGGACAGACGGCCGGGCTGGGGGTCGGGGCGAGCGCCACGCCGCGGGGTCCCCTGGTGGGGCTGGTCCGGGCTTCGTCCCCGGACACGCCGAGGCTGCAGTCTCCGTTGGAAACCCCGCCGCTGTCATAGCGCGCCCGCCCGTGGCCAAGGCGACCTCCCCCGCCGCCGCCGCCTTCGCCGGCTCCGGCTTTCAGGGCGCCCTTGGCGCCGAGGGCCGGGCCCGGGGAGGTGGGCAGGGCCCCGCCGGCGGCGCCCCCCCGGCCGTACTCCGCCATGGGCGCCCCGCGACCCGCCTGCACAAAGCCGCGTCCCCGCGTCCCCGCGTCCCCGCCGCCGCCTCGGGCCGCCGCGCGCGGCCCCTCCTCCTCTCCTCCTCCCGCCGCCGCCGCCTCGGCCGCTTCTTCCGCTTCTTTTTTTTTTTTTTTTAATTTAGATGTGATGTTTGTTTCGAGCTCGCCTCGCGCGCAGTCAAAGTGGTGGCGGCAGAATTATCGGAAGATTCCTGCTGGGGAAAGAAAGGAGAGAGAAGTCAGCTCGGGCGCCGGCGGAGCCCCGCTCCCGGCACCTGGGGAAGGAAAACACGCCCCGACACACGCGCCGCTGCGGGCGCCAAAAATAACCCGCGCGGGCCGGGCGCCCACCGGCAACCCGGCGCCCACCTCAGGGGCTCGAGGCGCCCACCCCGAGGTAACGGGCGCCTACGTCAGGGGCTCGGGCGCTCTCTCCCAGGGCTCAGGGCGGCCGCCCCGGGGGTCGGGGCACCCACCTCGCGGGAAAAGGGAGAGGGGAAGCGACGGCGCCCCGACGCTGCCTGACCACGCGGAGGCGCCTCCGAGGGTCCCGGCGGGCGGAGAGTGAAGCCTGGGTCTCCCCGGACCCCAGTTCCCCAGAGGCCGCCTCGTGCGGAGCCCTGTCACGTCCTCCCCAGGCCCCCGCTGAGGCCCGCGGCGCCGGAGAAGCGCACGGTGGGCAGGGGAGGCCCGGCCCTGGCCGTCGCCTGGCGGCCCCCGGGGCGGCCAGACCCACCCGCCCCCGCCCGCGGCTGTCTCCTCCCGGCTCCACGCTGCCCCCTACAGGCCTCGGGGACCCTCCCCGGCCGCCCCTGACCCACCGTGAGCCGCCGGGGCTCGCGCTCGAGGGTGCTGCCGTCGCGGCTGCCGTCGCCGAGGCCGAATGGTGGGGCCGCGGGGACCTCGCTGCCGAGCGGACGGCGGCGGGCGGCGGCCGCGGGTCCTGCATACCCCCCGCGTCCCCGAGCGGCCGCAACTGCCAATCACCGCCCGGAGCCCCGAGGGGCAACCGCGGCGCAGGCCGCCGGCCCGAGCTAGGGTCCCCGGGCTCGGGATCCCGGCCGCTGCGCCTCACTCCTGCCCAGCTCCCGGCGCACGGAGCTCGTTCCCCTCCCGCCCAGCTGGGGAAAAGGCCATGCGGACGCTCCCCTCTGGGCTTCCCCAGTGGGTCAGACCCATTTCACATACTGAAACCAGTGCCGTTCCCCTGGGCTCCTAAACTGTGAATTGATTCAACTAGTTGCAAGGATGCTGGGGCAGGGGTGAGGGGCGGGGTGGCTGGCGGGCTATGAGGGGCAGAGGACATCCACAGATCCTCTTTCGTGCCCCCAGTGTCGTCCCACAGAGATTTATCACCTCCCTCTCAATGACCTTCCTGATCCCGCCACCAGGGATGCCAGCTGGCCCCGCCCGCTGTGGGGCCCAGCCTAGCTCAGGCTCATCTTTTGGGACGGGATCCTGCTTGCATCGCTACAGCCCGTCTCTCCCCTACTCTGCTCTTCCCACACCCGCTTAAGGCAAAGTGACCAGCCAAAAAATTAACGGTGATCGTGCCACTTCCCGCACAGATACCTCCCCAGGATCTCCATCTCTGCCAGACAGGGCCCAAGCCCCGCAGCGTGGTGCCCAAGGCCCCACCCAGCCCGGCCCCACCCACCTCTCCATCCTCAGCTTCCTGGGCTCCAGCCTCCTGCCCTTTCTGGCACCCTAGCTCTTCCCCAACTCGTGTGCTTCCTTTTCCAGGAACGCACTCCCCGCAGGGCACGAAGGAGAAACTGATAGTCCGCAAGGGAGTGAACTTAAAGACCTTGCTTTCATTAGCTGGTGTTGTAGCAAATTGCCAAGTAGCCTCTGAGGAAATGGGCTTTACATGCATATACATACTTGCCCTTGCCCCTGAAGCAACATCAAATACTTTCATGTTTTCTTGGGGGCGTTTTAATTCTTCCAATCCTCAGGATTCATGTTTTTGTAACCCATCAGACAAGCTTTTATACATCTCTTGCCAACCTGGGCCTACACACTAACAGAAATGTTTTCACATCAATGGACAACAATGTTTTAATATTTTATTCAGTCTCATCCCCTTTTTCCTAATTTTGTTTCAAAACAGGCTAGGGTTTTGTTTTGTTTTGTTTTCCTGTCTTGTGATAGTTTTGCAGAAAAATATACTCACATAATTCAAATCAGGTTCTGCCTTATCAAATATATAGTCATAAGAGCCTGCAAGTATGCTTTAAGGGAGGAAAAGAAAAATGCTGGGGCCTTTATTCTTAAAGTTCTCTAATTCTGATTATTTTGAATAAACACCTGGAGGCATCTCTGTCGTTTCTGTGTGAGGGTCTAATCTTCTCTGAATTTACCAATCGCTAGTAAAATGCTATGACAGCCATGGATCCTGCTCCTCTTACCAGGAATTTCCTGAGGTGAGCAGCGACATATGGAGGTTTAAACCCCCAGCATGCTTTTTATAGAACCACCATTTAATTCACCAATACCCTCCAAAATGAGCACCTATCCATCTCACTCCAGACTTCCAACAGGTCAAACCAGGGAGCTTCTTTGAAATAGACTTGGCATTTAAAATTAAAATGTTTCCCAAAGCATCTTGGCAGACCTGTAACTAATGATGCCAGAAGCCCAAAGCCTGTGCCAGGTTCCTTTTTATCCCCATCAGTGTTTGTCTCCCACAAGCCACTGGTCACGCCTGCTGATGTTACAGCAGTACTTCATCATGCAAGCAGCCAAACTGTAAGTACCATATCTCAGATATGGCGATGGGAAGCAGCACGTTCCTCTGACGTGTGCAATTCTTGGCTCCCAACAGACTTTTCAATAAGCTAAACTCAGATTTTTTTTCATCACAGTGTAGTAAGCAATTCTTTCTCCTCCTTCCTGCCTGTCTCTTTATAGTTACTAAGTGATTGCTTTCCATTTTTCCTGTTCCATGAGCAATGTTATTGAAGAAATTGTAAATATTTTGCCAGAATTCTTGCTGAAGTGTCTTCATGGCATTGTGAAATTCATAGAAGTTAGAGTTAGAAAAAGAGCCAAAATACCACAGTCATTCCTTAGTAAATATTGTTTAATGGCTTCTTCAGACTAATTTTCAGAGCAGGACAATAAAAGGTAGGCAAGGCATTAATAGAATGTTCATTGTGGATAACTCCATGGTACTTATGCCAATTTGTTTGTCTATATACTAATGGTTAGATTCCAATGAGTAATTTGTGATGTTTAAAGTCAACAGATACCTTTAAATTTCAGTATATCATGCCTGCGATTCATAGCTTTATCTCTTTTAAGCTTTCTTCATATTTCAATCCATCTCAGCTTTTAATCATTGTCACCCTTCACCAAACTGTCTTCTATTTGTTTACATCATTAATCTGATGCCTTGAACTTGAGCTATTCAGGCTCCCTGGTCCATAATAACCTTCCTTCAGCCTCCCAAAATAACACTGACACTGTTTACTGATTTCTTGCCGTCATTTATACCCTTGAAGGTTATGAATTCATATCTAGTTTCCAGTTCGCAGGCTCTAATATTACAATTCTCCAAATTTTTCTGACTCACTGAGCACTTGGCCTTCAGATTATTTTCTCCTTCAATGTATTATGACAATTTTCATTCCCAAACCTCAATTTTATTTTATTTCCTGTATTTCTCTAAAGATGCAATTCAACCTCTGAGCCTTCACATTCAACTGATCTCCATATGCTTAACGTGAGAGCTAACTAGAGCGGAAAGTGGACCAAAATGTTTTAAGGAAATAGCAGATTATATCAACGTACAGGTCCACAGTAGCTACCCATTTGCTTCCTGAGTCAATCCAAGGTGTTGATTTTAATCTATTATGTGGCTTGACTTATGTTTATTTTATCATGATCCTCAACAACAAGAAATATGTAGTGACTGCCCTTATTCCTGAGCATTTCCTAACATGGCAAGTTAGAGCTGCCAAAAGCTTTCATTCATTTCCTTATTCTTCCTCTCCTCTGACACTAAAGATCCTTCACCCATTTTCCTTAGACCCATTTTCTGCTAGTGTACATGACTGCCAAGAAGTTGGGCACTCAGGGAAACACATTGGTGCTTTTCAGCTACTGAGGAACTACTTTGTGGATTCATTAAATTTTCACAGTGGCTATTGAGTTAGGTAGCATTTTGAGGGAATCTATTAATTACCAATCTAATTTCATAAGATTATTTTATCAGCAAAAGCAACAATATGATAGACTAATATGATTCCCTAAAAAAATAACTGTTGCTTATTATGCTACTATTGTAAATTCTCTCTCATGCATTTGGTTGGATTTTTACCATTGTTTTATTACAGGAGTTATTGCAAAGTCAAATGCCTAAAGGAGGCCGGTAGGTAATGTAATGAGTGAAACTGGAGGGATTTGTTTCATAATAGCATTATAATTTATAGTTTCTCAACAATGATATACTTTACATATCAAATACAGAGTAATACTCTTCCTGATTCATCTCTGGTTTTTCTAATTTTGATAGGGCCTTGCTACAAGAAATATCTCACTTCCTTCTTAACTCTAAGAAAGACATGTGAACATACTGATAAATTGCAACTGATACAACTGTGCCATGTGTGGGGTGGCATTATGGAGTGGTGGGGACTCACGTAAGCTGGTGAGAAACCTTATTGCTGCCATGAGGCAATATTAGCCCAGTGCTGCCAGGATCATCTTATTTTTCCAGAGAAGCCAGAAATCTGGAATATAAAACTTGCTGTTTGGTTAGTTCATCTCTCAAGAGAAGGACATGCACAAAAGGAAGTCTTATAAACAACTTATATTGTTCTTTATAAGGTCTACAGAGAGACCTATTTTTGCTGTCCCACCTCCAAACAGCATGATAAGCAAGGCTCAGCAAATGCCTTACAAATTTTGCATTTCTTTGGATCTGGTTTTCCAGGATAGATTTATTTTCATGATTTTATCAAGTCAAATATCTAATGACCATATCTTTGAACACATCCCAATATGTGATATGTTGTTCTCAAACACTTCCCTTCATCTACCCACTCCCACATCCCAACCCCACAAATATTTCATCTGTGAAATCTGAAAGTCAGAAACTCTGCCTATTCATCAGTCCCATTCCTTTACATTCCCCAAAACCACCTGCCAGTCTTAGCAACACCTGTACTTTCTCTACCCCATCCCACTCTCTCAGTCCATCAGCACTCCTGTTTATACTTTCTCTCTACTCATGCTGGGCCCATCACCTAGACTTTCAGCCACATTCTCACCAGCATCCTAGACCCTTTACATTCTTGTCTTCTGTCCTGCCTGCCTTGCCAATCCACAGCTTTGCATTAATCCAATCATGGTTTTTTTCATGCATGCCCTTAGGCTGCTACTCTGCTGGAGGAAAAATATCATATAGGTGGCTATATTACAACTCTATGCTTCTGTCTTCAGCAGGGTCTTTGGTACTGTTAGGCAATATTTTACCATTTGCTAATTGGCATAAATCTCCATTCTCCAAACTATTACTCTCCAAATCCCAACTGACCCATTAGCCCTCAATCTCAGAAGCTGTCCTAGGATTCTGCTTTACACAGACAGTAAAATGTGCCAAGCAATAAATTGATTTACTTTTCCTTCATTCCACTTACCCTTACCTCACCCACCATCCCTGCTATCTAAGGCTAACCTCAAAACAGAAACCATCTATGTATGTCTTAT